AGCACTCTGGCCGACACCACAATCACCGAACCGAAGAAGCGTATACCTTCTCTCAAGCATATGAATGCTATAAACAGCTGAATAGGCAAAAACCATACGGATGGGTTTAGACTCCTAGCAGTCAAACTGGAACAGCATACAATAAATCCTTCCCCAATAATGAGACGACACTTCACTTTGAGGGTTAAGCAGGAACTGACTGGACTGGCACATACATCCTCTTTTATTCCCAATCCACAAACTTAGTACTGCCCACAGGGTTTTACAGAACAACCAATCAATCTGTACAATACACACAGACACTCCCACACAAAATCCTCCCCTCTGCCTGTAATACAATTACCTTACACAATGGGTAATCTAATTATCACAGACAGAGAAATACAGTTTCATAAAACACATCACAGGGACCCCAAAACATGCAATAACCCCATAAAAATCCTTGGAACTGGGGGATCTGGGTGAACCACATATCCAAAATTCACCCAGATCCGTTCAGTACTTTGGAAGATACAGTTTAATGCAGATTCTGCAGAACATATACAGGCTAAATGAAAAACAATCACTGTATAATGTGTCCCCTGCTGTATAGTCCAAAACCACTGCACGATGTCTCTGTGCACCAAATACTGGCGAGATGGCACCGTGTTGAAAAGTCCAAACAGTGTCTGTGAGTTAAAATGGCCGCCATCCATTGTTCTCACCATGTGCTTCATCCATTGTTCTCACCATGTGCCTCTGATACAGGAAATGGTGGCCACCCAGTAACTCCACAGTATGTCCCCAGATGGTTCTTAAAGGGCCAGCAGCAGCACAACACAAATCCCTTATGCCCAAATCATGTCTTTAAAGGGCAATACATCCCAGGGGCCATAGTCACATGGCAGGAGGCTGGCAATCAGTCTTCTCCAATGCCCAGTGGTGAGGTCGGTTTCGCCACATTTCTCCCCTTTCCCAAAAAGACTAACAAGGTATCTGATCTCCTGTCGGTCAGTGCCTTGGTTAGTCCAGCAACCCACCCACAAAACATAGTCAGTAGTGCAGCCCACCCACAAGAATTGGTTACTGCACCTGGGGTAGTGGGTAGCTTGTCCATGTCCAGGGGCTCCACCACGGCTCTGGGGGATACTAGCCTTCTGGATCGGTGGGTTGCTGAGTGGGCAGAGACCAGCGGTACTCTCCCCTGGTGCCAGCGCTACCACGGGAGTAGCCTGGTTGGGGCTCAGCTGAGGAGAAGGGTTAGTAGGCTCCTCCCTCTGGACCTGGTGTTGCTGCTGGAGGGGAAGACAGGCTGTCTCCCCTTTGGATAAACAGCCCTGCTGCAGGGGGACAGGACCGACCGTCCCTACCCCCTGTGGTTTGGGCGCAGAGACCACGGTCCCATCTGCACCGTTGTGGGGCTTACTGTCTCCCCTTGGTGGGCTAGGCTGCTGCTGGGGAGAGGGGGTAACAAGCTCCTCTCCCATACATCCTTTCCGCTACTGGGGAGAGGGGATAACAAGCTCCTCTCCCTGACACTCTCTCTGCTGTTGGAGAGGGAGACCGACTGTCTCCCCTTTCAATATATTGTCCTGCTGCTGGGGAGCAAAACCGACTGTCTCTGCTTCCTGCAGGACACACTGCCGCTAGGGAGGAAGGACTGCACCTTCCGCTCCCTGGAAAACATACTGCCGCTGGGGAGGAAGGAAGGCACCTTCAGCTCCCTGGGACACACACTGCCGCTGGGGATCTGGGCCAACCGCCCAGCTTCCCTGTAGGGCCGGTAGAGAGACCGCCATCCCATCTCCACCTGCCATCTGTGGGTCTTCCCAGGACCAGTCTGTGAGGTCCTTCAACATTTGCGAGTAAGGACCACCTGGCAACTCTGGCTGCTGCTGGGGATCTGGGCCGGCTGCCCAGCATCCAGGGGGAGAGACCTCGGTCCCATCTCCACCTGCCTGTTGTGGTTCCTCACAGGACCAGTCTATGAGGACCCCTACTTCGGCCGCCTCAGGGGGAGACGGCTAGCCTCCTCGGATGCAGCCTCTACTCGGCTGCTGTAACACTCCATCCGCTGAGCATTCTCTCTCTCTTTCGCCAGCCGGAATTCTCGGGCCAGCATTGTGTTTCGCTCTCCCGTGACCTGGTTCCAGATCACCCGGCGTACTTCCATGGGTACATCATCCCCATACTGGGCCACTCGCTGCCTCTCCTCGGCCATCCAATCATCGCCAGAGCCTTCCATACTAGTCTGCTCCAAGTCGCTGGATACCTCTGCTCCCAGGTGCGCTGCACGTGTGCTAGCGTTGCCCTCAATTTGTAACTCCACAAACGGTGTCTCTGAGCTGCTTTACCTCGCACTAGGACGCCATCCCACCGCTTGCCACCAATGTAACGGATCACCTGGCACCCCGACTGGGTACCTCCGTTAAAGGATGCTCCTAGCGTTTCCTGAGGACTCCAAGCACTCTGGCCGACACCACAATCACCGAACCGAAGAAGCGTATACCTTCTCTCAAGCATATGAATGCTATAAACAGCTGAATAGGCAAAAACCATACGGATGGGTTTAGACTCCTAGCAGTCAAACTGGAACAGCATACAATAAATCCTCCCCCAATAATGAGACGACACTTCACTTTGAGGGTTAAGCATGAACTGACTGGACTGGCACATACAGCCTCTTTTATTCCCAATCCACAAACTTAGTACTGCCCACAGGGTTTTACAGAACAACCAATCAATCTGTACAATACACACAGACACTCCCACACAAAATCCTCCCCTCTGCCTGTAATACAATTACCTTACACAATGGGTAATCTAATTATTACAGACAGAGAAATACAGTTTCATAAAACACATCACAGGGACCCCAAAACATGCAATAACCCCATAAAAATCCTTGGAACCGGGGGATCTGGGTGAACCACATATCCAAAATTCACCCAGATCCGTTCAGTACTTTGGAAGATACAGTTTAATGCAGATTCTGCAGAACATATACAGGCTAAATGAAAAACAATCACTGTATAATGTGTCCCCTGCTGTATAGTCCAAAACCACTGCACAATGTCTCTGTGCACCAAATACTGGCGAGATGGCACCGTGTTGAAAAGTCCAAACAGTGTCTGTGAGTTAAAATGGCCGCCATCCATTGTTCTCACCATGTGCTTCATCCATTGTTCTCACCATGTGCCTCTGATACAGGAAATGGTGGCCACCCAGTAACTCCACAGTATGTCCCCAGATGGTTCTTAAAGGGCCAGCAGCAGAACAACACAAATCCCTAATGCCCAAATCATGTCTTTAAAGGGCAATACATCCCAGGGGCCGTAGTCACATGGCAGGAGGCTGGCAATCAGTCTTCTCCAATGCCCAGTGGTGAGGTCGGTTTCGCCACAACGAGGCAAGGGGGATATGATAGAAACATTTAAATACATAAAGGGACTCAACACAGTAAAGGAGGAGACTATATTCAAAAGAAGAAAAACTAACAACAAGAGAACAGCGTCTTAAATTAGAGGGGCACAGGTTTAAAAATAATATCAGAAGTATTACTTTACTGAGAGGGTAGTGGATGCATGGAATAGCCTTCCAGCTGAAGTGGTAGAGGTTAACACAGTAAAGGAGTTTAAGAATTTGTGGGATAGGCATAAGGATATCCTAACTATAAGATAAGGTCAGGAACTAATTAAAGTATTTAGAAAATTGGGCAGAATGGTTCTTATCTGCCGTTACATTCTATATTTCTATGTTGTTAATTTTAATAAGCCCACCAGTTAGTAAAATCAAATAGCTGTTGCAAACCCCAATATTTAGTTGTTCAAACTGAAAACGTTATTATGAAAAACTTGAAAGTTTCACCCCCATTAGCCCTACCAGAGCCAAATGAATGATTGCGATACAAATTAAACATAGTTACACAGCAAAGGATGAAGAAAATGCAGACAGCAATCAATTGGGGAGATCAGAGCAAACCAGACAAACAAGGAGGTATTGTACATCAGCAAAAAGCTATGTCAGATGAACGTGAGCAAAGGCACCAAGCACTGAAGACAAAATTCTAAGCGATATTTTGTGGGAAATTGGCATTCATCACTGAATCAGAAGTGGATTGTTATGCTTCTGATTAATTAATGCAATTCTCTGCGATAATTACATAGTTGCCACTTTCTAACTTTCATGTTTTGAAAATGCAGGGACCCACGGAACAGAGGTGACACTGAGAGAAGTCCAAAGGCCACAAAAAAAGAGTGTTTTGCCAAAACACTGTCAGAAGTAAACAGTTGAAAAGGAATCATTAGGAAAAAAGTTAGGTTGATACAGGCAGGGAGGAATGTCAGGAAACAGGATAATTCAGAACATGCACCATGGATCATTGTCAACAATGTGGTTCTATCAGTGTAGAAGCATAGTGGATGTTAGAAAGAAGCTGAATTCATAAGCAGTGCAGGCTTTATCAGGATATACACTCCTTGTAGGAAAGCAAACCTGGTGGTAGAGAAAAGCCTGAGTGCTACTTGCATGGATAAAATACAAGAAAACAGGTTGCGCCAAAAGGTGTAAAACAATAAAATAATATAATAATAAAAAAATATATTTAAAAAGTCCAAATATTCACAGTCCAAATATCGCAATCCCAGCTGTTTCTGGATTCTTGGGGAATGTTGGTTCGTGGTTAAGGTGCTTGCAAATATATGTAGGGAGACACAAAGTGACAAATAATAGTGCAGACTGTTTTGGCAGGAAAATAAGACTCAAAACAGTGGTATATGAGGTAGCACTCACATGTTATGGAGCTTAAACTAGCTCTAAGTAAGATTGCTTGTAGCAGTACAATCCCCACTGGTGGATATAACTTATGAGGCGAATATCTCGATATGCAGGTAGATCTATGAAAGAAAAATAAAATATCCAATAGTGCTCACTGTAAACATATATATGTGACGCAGTACAAAAATATATTATACTCACATTTGTTAGAGCGTTAAATCACTCAAGTATCAGCGCATGGGTGGTATAATCCCCACCAGGGATATGTTGGTAAATAGTTGTTCAGATCGGAAGTTACAACTATTTACTAACATATCCATGGTGGGGACTATACCACCCATGCGCTGATATTTGAGCGACTTAACCCTCTCTCAAATGTGAGTATAATACATTTTTATACTGCATCACATATTTATGTTTCCAGTGAGCACTACTGGATATTTTCTTTTTCTTTCATAGACCTACCTGCATATCGAGATAGGTGGGAAAGGATTAGGTGTGGCAGGGTTTGTTAGAAGGGGACTGAACGTTTCTTACATGTGGACTGTAAGATCCATGTGCTCTTTGAAGGTAGTCAGGCATCCGAAAAGTGTGGATTACCACGGTACAGATGTGTCTCCGTCTAGCCATGGGTCCCATACTTTATGGAATGTTTTGAGTGTGTCATGAAGGTGTGATGTGAGCCTATCCAAGTAGATGCGGTCTCCAATCGCTCTGCGTGTGACAAGAGCCTCCCTTGCTATCAATTTATTCTAGTGAAGGGGTTTAGGGATTTGGAAAGTAATAAGGCCCATGGGTCTAGGAGGCAGGGCTTCATTAAAATTGCAAACATGTATCTTAAAACAAATCCATTGCAAATCTTGTAAATGAACTAAAGCATATACACATTTATTGTAGATACCTTATATATTCACTAAAACGCTCGATCCAGACCATTCAGCAGAAACTCCAATTGGGATCATAAAACAAGGGTGGGAGGAAATGAAAAAAATAATAAAGCCAAACCCCCCCTATTGTACCTCACGTCATGTGCCAGCATCCTCAATAAAACAATAAAGAAAAAATTGACAAATAAATCTAACTTATCCCCCACAATCATAAAGGACCTTAGTTTGTTAGGAAATAGCACAATTAGAAAAATATTAAAAGTATATTATTGATTTTCTGTATTTTTTTAAAGTCTAATTTATTTGAACCAATATTTATTGGCTCCCAATAAGCCTTGTAGTAATGTAATAGATTCAAACCAATAAAAGACTTATTGGGATCTGATAAACTGCTGCTAAACATTATTAGCAGACATGCAATCAACGCCATAATTCCTAAACGACATTATAAAAAATATAGGTTACTTTATTGATACACTTAATCTGGGATCACCAGATTTTTGGTAACTTTGTTATTACTCAAATTGAGACGTGATTGATCTGATTGATTTGGATATAAATCAGTTTTAAAAAGATAATATAACGCAAGGATTAAATAACCAGCAAACATTTTAAATAAGATAATGATATTATGAACAATAACATTTAATGAGTATGTTTTGGATCCTAATAGCCCTTAACATTTACCCAAAGAAATAGACACATTTCTCACATGTTACCAGAACCTTTGTACTCTGTTGGGGCAAGAAGCAAAGGTTCTCCTGGTGGATGGTGGATCTGACCTGAACAGCCATGAATGGGAATCCATAGGCTCCGTACTATTGACAGAGGTTGTGGAATAACTGGAAGTTCCCATATCCATAGACAATTTGGCCAGATAACTGATTATGACTCTAGGCCAGATTGAGCTCCTCTCGAATATTAAACTACCGATCTGCAAGATCTCCAACTTTGTGATGGAGGGAATTTAAGGAGGGCAAATATATTTTTTTCTAAGAATTAATGGACAGTAGTCTACCAGTGTTGACAGATACAGAAACTGAGTAAGCTAGAACATTTTATCCACCACCCTATGATAGACTGGACCCCTTCTTTTTGTCCACTGGCAGACCAAGGGAAACCTCTCAGATTAATTTAACCTTCGCAATATGGAACGCACTGTCTCCTGTCATGATGCTCTTCTTGCTTTTGATGGAGCCTTTTCTGAACAGGATACAAGTAAATCTCAATATATAGTTTCTCCTACGGACAGCACCAACACAAGGCGGAGTTCTATGCCAACATCAGTATTTATATTCTGTATTAGCCTTCCTGAAAGAAATAGTTGACTCCAAAAGTGGAGTACATTTCATTTTGACCTTACCTTTCTGAAGATGCACTTCATGTATTGCATCACATGGACTATAACTATAATGGGTACAGGAATTTTTGGGATCCATTCATGTGTCACATTCCCTGCCGCTGGCACTTACCTTCCCGGGGTGCTTGCAGTGTCCTGGAGCAAGTACCATCAGGGGCCTTGGGCATATACAGCTCTCTCCCGCCTCACCCCCACTGCTCCTCCTTTGGCTTTCCTCACTACTGCCCAGCGCCGGACTCCATTTGGGTGCCACCACCGCAACAAGATTACAGGGGTCATGACGATGCTGGTGTGGCATGCAGAAGGGATTGTGTGGGCCGGTAGGAGAGTGAGCTGGGCAGACAGGGGGAAGGGACTGGGGAATTGGCATTGGAGCTCCGCCTGTAGTAACACTGCACTCAGTTAGTGCTTGGTTGTTCTGGTGCTTGTTCCAATCTCCTGGCATTCTGGTTCTTTGTTCTTGGTTCCTGATCCTGGTCCTTGGTCCTGGTCCTTGTTCCTGATCCTGGTTCTTGTTCTTGGTTCCTGATTACCGGTTACTGGTTCTTGATTCCTAGTAATACTTCTCTGCTTCTGACCTGTGGCTTTGACCCTGACATGCTTTTTGTCTCCAACACTTGGCTTCTGACATTCTGCTCACTATTCATGGATCTCCTCCTTCTGAGCTTTGGTTTGGCACTTGACCTTATATATACATTATTTCCCCATACATGGTTCACAGTTATGTTATGTATCATCCTTACAAGAGTTCAATATTTCAACTTAACTACAGTCATTGGCGGGTGAATGCCCAGCCCTGGCGAGTAAGATTCACCCCCAGTAAGTGTGCCATGAACTCTCCAGGCTTACAGTGGGAAGTAACCTCTACTAGAGTATGACTTGAATTTTTAAACATACCCCAGATATTAATAAATAGAAACATGTATTTAAAACAAAACTGCAAATAACTGCCCACTATGAGATCTATCTTATTATAAAAGTAGAGAAAATAGTAGTCTGCAGCGTCTGTTATATACTGTTAAAATACAAAAAAGTAAAAAGCCTGGTGTTGATCACGTTATCTTTGTACTTTTGTATGTACTTGATGAATAGTGTGGTATTAAATAGCGTCGATATGAAAATCAGCAACTGGCACATCGTAACGCTTCAAACTGGCATCTTACATAGCTTTCTTCTTCTGTTCAAACACCATTGTACAGCTCAGCCCCTGGGAGAGAGCCAATATTTACATGCAGCTGCTATACTGACAGGTATGATTCATAAGCAGTTAAAATACTCATTATTATAAATCACTTTAGAGAGAAAATTATAAGATCATTATAGTAATTTTTCTGCATTGGAACAATTTCCTGTATAGAATATTAAGTATAGTGGTTTTCCTTTACTATCAATGGTAACTATTAATATTAATGAAAATTCTTTATCACTGTTGCAGAAAATCATTAGTGAATACCATAATCTTGTCAATGATTGAGGCCAGTAGAAAAGGAACATTAAACTCCTTACTAGCACACATGTGAGATTTGCATAAATTTAATACATTATCCATTTATGTCCTGCCACTGCACGTTTTATGTTTTGTGTGAAAAGAAAATCATTTGAAATTTAGCAAGCTATTCACAGTATGTATCCATAGTCTAAAAATAATGGTTTTAAAAGTTGAAAGATCCTATTGTTGGCATATCACATCAATATAATATGCTAATTTATAATTCCTAGTATTTTGATACATTTTTCCCCCTTATGCAGTTGGTAAGGAAATGCCGCCATCTAGTGTATTTAGTTAGATGTGCAATAGTGTATACTGCAATACCAAAAAAAAAAAGACCAATGCATACATAATACATAAACCACCAGAAAATCTTCAGAGTATCTGGGGAGACAGAATCCCTCTATATTATCCGGACAGGGCTGAATAAAAATGGTAGAAGACGATATGGCTGCTACAATTCATGAAGAACATGAAAACATCTTAAAAAATTAGAAGAGGAAATTGAAACTCTTAGTTAAGTGCTGGTAGCAAAGAGTAACATCAAGCTAATATAAAAAAAATATATTGTGAATCACAACACTTTCTGAACCAAAACATCATATCTTGAAAGGAATGCATGATGTTGCTTCCACAACTGTATATAAAAAAACCCATTCAAAACCTTATTGGAGCAGGTCAATGCTCTACCTCATGTGAGTAGGTTATTTATTTTTTATGCACAGTCACTGTGCCATACAGGCTGTACTATTGAATATTCTCTGTTTTATCTCTCTACATATCTAATCTATAGGTGTATCCACCATCACCACTGCTGATAATATATCCCGAGACGGGGATTATACTGTCCACGCTTAATACAGCAGAACTCTTTGAAGCTCAAAAAAGTGTGTGTGTTTTTGTCATATTATTTATATTTCTCTTTTCTGTTATAATACATATTGCACTATTACTTTTCTGTCTCTTTATATTGAGATACCTGATCATGTGTAACCCAAACAAAGTATTCTTTTGACATATGTATCTTTTATGTGATTCCACAAAAGAGTTATAATCTATCTAGGCACGGTTATCTATATTTTTTTTCTGATTTAATTACCAGAATATGTTGCAATCTTCTCCCGGACACAGAGATGCCTGGGTTGGCTTACTCTTTTTGGCCCCCACCCCTGAGCGGTGGGTGAGGGCCCTAAATAAAAAAAATAAACCCCCTCCCCCGGGTGACTAGGGGTCCCCAAACCCCTAGTCACCCCCTCCCCCCAAAAATTAACCCCTACTTCCCCCCCTCACCCTAAAAATAGTGAGGGGGACCATTAGCTAACTACCTGTTAAAAAATAAAATAAAACTTACCATTTGATGTTTTCTTTCTTCTAAAATTTTCTTTTTTCAGCCCCAAAAAGCCAAAGAAAAAGCCATAATAACCGAAAAAAAAAAAAAAAAACTAGTGCAAAAAAAAAAAATCCATCTTCACCCAATGTAGGGCTCCGCGCAGACTGAGCTCTACAGGGCGGGGGAAGGCTTATAAAGCCTTGCCCTGCCCTGCAATTAGGCTCAGAGCACTCTGATTGGTGGGTTTAAGCCATCCAATCAGAGTGC